CTGAAAACTTCACTGATTTTCATAGAGATGGCATGTTTATTTAGCTTAGTCGCTTCCCCCTTTCACACTGCAGATATATAGCAGTTTCTTTTTCCAATATTAAGCGAATTTATTTCATACTTGTATTTCGTCTGTTTTGTGCTGCTGTAACTGTTTGAATTTTGCTTAGCATGCTGTTTTACTGTACTCAGGATCATAGACTAAAGCATCCTGGATTCCACTGCTACTTACCATCAACCAATTGACTTCAGGTAATATGACCAGACATCGTCGAAGCATCTACACAAGTAGCCGACAAATCAACCTGAGACCGAGCACTCCCCTCCAATCAATCCACGGGAAAATTTAAACTGAATTCAATAATTAATATGAGCCATGTCGCACAAGATTCAGTGGCTCTCGTAGCCCAAGTGGTCTAGTGGATAACGCTTTGGCGTTTGAAACTATGGGCACTGGGTTCCAGTCTCGGTGGGAACACCATCACTCACTGACTCACTGGGAATGCAGGTACATCCACCCACTAGCTGACGAGTCCCAAGTAGAGGACGAAATGCGCGTTATCCTGGATTCCACTGCTAGTCACCATTCACCAACTGACTTAAAACGATATTGTATTCTTTTGCTTTCTGTTTGTCTGAATAGAATGACTAATTTTTGTTTTTGACTACAACTCTTTCAATTAGGTATTTGGTTTCATTTGTGATTAGAATATTTCCCTTTGTGGTTACAGTATACCGAAAACATACTTAGTCAAAAGACAAAAGAAAATTTCAGCAAAAATATTCTTTTCAATAATTTCCTTTGATTATGAAAAACGAGGATGCGAAACACAGAACATCCTTGTTGACAAATTTAACGATGTTCATCCTGCAATAAACTTTACCATTGGGAAAGAAAGAGACTCTAGTACTTTATTACTAGACATCCTTTTGACTAGAAAAGGGGATGATATAATAATAAGAAGTGTATGTAGAAAGCCTTCATCAACTGGCCGGTATAATCATTTTTCCAGGTTCGTGTCCTTGAAATACAAAGGCAATCTGATTAAGTGCTCGGTCTACCACAGAGCAAGAGCAGTGTGCTCTCAAGGATGCCTTAATGAAGAGCTTAATATCATTAAACAGTTGCTAAGTGACAACGGTTACCCAGAAAAATTTATTTATAAAAATGTGAATCAGAAGTGAAGACAGGCCAGAGTATCAACAGTCCCGAAAAAGGTATTATTCTCGCAACTTCATTTCCTCAGCGACAACATAGTGAGATTTGAACACAACGCCTACAGCACACGGTAGTAGAAAGAACATTCAGTGCTGCTGAATTATGCCATGTCTTCAAAACCACCCGCATTTTTTTTCGGGAGTTGAAGGTAAACTGCCCAATTTCATCTCTTCTAAGTGTCTTTATCAGTTTGATTGCTCCTGTGAGGTCAGTCAGTTGCACAGGCCGTACAAATAGGCATGTTTATCGTAGGATTTCGGAACACCGTCCTGCATGGTGGTCAAGTAAGGGACAAACAAAGTGCATTCATAGTTCTATACTGTCTCATCTCGTAGTTACACAATAAAAAATTGATGTAAACAACGTCATCTACCACATACCAACCAACTAAGCTTAATTTCACCTGAAAAGTTCGTCTATTTACATAGTGCTGAGGCTGGCTGTTGGAATTCACCTTAATTAAGAAGCTTAATCTATGTATCTAAAAGAAGATATTGGTTCAGACGATTTCCTTAATCCTCTGGTTATCGAGATTTTAATGATCCTTAATTTTATTTGATATTCTATTTACTATTACATTTTTATGCTTATTATTATAACTTATGCATCTTTCTTGAACTGTGGTTATTCTATTGTGATCTTAACCATTCGATAGTATTCAAAAAACACCAATATTGTTAATGACAGTTACAATATATGTTACTCTTGAGTAACTACGTCTTTCCGCTCTTAAGCTGACTTTTATTATTAGAAAAGCTACTGTCGACTACTGATAGCCCAGATATTTATTCACTGTATTATGTAGGATTTAACATGACTCCACATGGATTAATGTACAAAATATGCCTTGATATTTTGGGACCCAGGATGTCACCTCATAGAAGAACAACCAATTGGCCTTTTAAGGACTATCAGTTATTCCTGGAGCATAATAATTTCATTTGTATGACTTCACTGTTTACTGAAGTTGTTTCTACTGTGTTGGTGATTGTTGATACTCATAATATTAAAGAATGGCTGATGTAGAAATGTCTAAATAACTCATATGTCTAGCACTGTGGACTGTTTCATTGGATTTTCTTTAAAAATCGACACTTTTCAGAGTGATACAGTGTTATGCAGTCGAAATTCTCATAACTACTGATCCTATTATGATGATGGATGAAACAGCTGTTTTGAAAACATGCACAGAGTGAAGACTGAGAAGCCTAGTTACTCACGAAATTCTTTCTAAAAATGTCTAGTTCTACATAACACAGATCTTCACAAGTGAAAATCTGGAGAATATTCGCTTTCGGTTTGCGGGGGAATAATTCACCTGGAGATTACTCTACGAACAAGGATCTATTTACATAAGTGATACGTGCTTGAGTATTTCAATTAATTTTGTATTGATTATCGTTTTCTGCGTTGACGTTTCTCTAGCAGTTTGCAAGCCCCACCCTCACCACTCCTTCTTTACCCGAGATGGGGACCGGCTAGAAAACTAGTAAGTTAGTCAACTAGGCGAGGTATCACGAAAAGGGTTTCCAACAAGCCACTACAGACTTTTATAAACTATTGTCCGCTACACTGACTCCACATTGAAGAACGAATGGATGGCCAGAAAGAATAAGTAACAAGAAACTGTGAGAACAAACCAACGGGCCACAGCCGATCGCTCAGAAAATATGTGGGATAAAATGGAGATGGATTAGGCAAACATTCAGGAGGCCACCAAATGACATCGCACGCAATGCAGGCCATCAGTTGAGTGGAATCCCAATCGGTGATGACTAGTGGGTCGTCAGTTCGAAGGTGATATGGAGGAGATGTGTTGAAGATGTGAAGGTGTGTTGTTGCAGCCTTATGTTCCACTCGGAACCCAAGGGACTTATAACAATAATATCGTTTTCTGCTTAACTGTATATCATTCTTCTAATGTCTACCATTTCTCCTTTGAACTTTATCCGTATTATTTGTCTTTACGTTTGGTTAATTCCTAGTTTTACGTGATAGTATTAATAACGATGTAATATTTTGACTGGACACTAATCAGTAACCAGTGTCATGTGTGTGTCTGGTCATTTGTTTGGTGCATACGGGATTCTATCAGTCACCTTTGCAATGTGGCCTCACCATGCCACTAGGTGGCTTGTCATCATGGTGCACTGTGAGATGTTGATATTAGATGGTTGCAGACAATCGGTCACAGAAAGACTTACCAGGACCAAGGTTTCGTGCTAGTTGACACTCACCAGTCAACAAGGCAGGGGTATCTGCAACGTTGAATGAAAGAACTCATGTCCAAAACCCAGGCTGAGCAAGGCTTCCTGTGGCCGATTGCTTCGAACCATCTTTTACCAACAACGATGTGATGTTTCACAATTATGACTTTGTTTGAGTGAATTTATAGTTATATTGTGAATAGATGGGTTGACTTTGAACTGTCTGTGAGAAAGGTGTCTGATCTGTATGATTTTTCCAGACGGAGTTTTATCTCACCTTGTTAGGAATATTCTTACTGATTCTTAGATAATTTATAAACCGTTTTGTTTAATTAATTTAGTTGTACAGTACTTATTTTGTACCTAAGAGACTTTTGAACTCTATAGCTGCAGGACGTAGTTGTTGAAGTAGTTTTGTATTTCTGATACTGCTGAATGGTGCCACAGATTCTATCAAACAAAAACGTGTTTTTATCTTGTTGAAATTAAATTTTCAACTGTAGGTTACTCGCGGAAGTTTTACAAGCTATGCAGAATAACGTAACAGTGGTTTCTGTGTTCAGACGGGAATACTGGAGTTTCGGTCATTACGTGGTTAAATACTCTGTCGGTAAGTTACTACTATTATTATTCCCTTGGGTTCCAAGTGGGACATGGGGCTTCAAAAATACATCTCCACTTCGTTCTATTTGCTACTGTCTTCATCAGCTGGCTGACCTAACAACTCCCCACAATCTCCCATCTCCTCCACCCTCGAAATGACGACCCACTCACTGTTTTCAACTAAGGCTTTACTCGAGTAATGACTTGGATTGAGCGCGATGTTATTCGACAGCATCTTCAGTGTATTCCCGAATCCATCTCCGTTTTATCTTACGTATTTGTTGAGTGGTCGGCTGTCACCTGTCGGTTTGTTTCCAGCCAGAGTTTCTTGCTGGCGATACTTTCTGGCTTACCTACTGGCCTGTCATTTGATCTTCAATAGAGAGCCAGCAAAGTGGGTAGCTGTTGATAAAAGTTTGCAGGTGGCTGTTGGAAATGCTTTTCGTGAGGCGCAGTATAAGTTTCTGACCCGCATAGAAGAACTGACTGACATAACATTGGTGTTGAAAATGCGAATCTTGTTCCCTTTGCTGAGTGTAGAAGATTTCCAAACTGGTTTCACATCGATGAAAGCGTATCTCACCTTTCCGATTCTGGCTGGTTTTGACATCTCCATCCGTACCGACTGCCTATGGTTGAAAACGTGCTTCTTAGCTCAATAAGTGAAAGGAATGACGTCTTTCAAATCATTCACGTTAATAGTGATTAGTGCTGGTTGTTGTTTTCGCTGTTAACTGTCGGTAAATTATGCAGGGCCTATTTCCGTTAATTAACTGCAGGCAATACTGTTTTGTCAAATATGCTTCCTGAGGTAAATCAATCAGTGTCGTTGGAGCCTTCATTCATCGTCCAACGAAGAACCTTGTCGTTAGCAACATACTTCTACTCTCTCCCTCTCTCCCTCCCTCTCTTCATTTAAAAATATTTCTACATTGCACTATTCGGAAATGCAAAACATCAAAATCATGAATACCTCTGTGTGTATATTAGCCATTTTCATGGGACAACATCTTTCCATTGCACAGATATTCACATTGCATAATATACATCACCATCATCATCCTCATCATCACCATTATCATCAGAAATGAAAAACTGTTTTCTTTGCTTCACAGGAGATCATGTAGAAGGCGAAAAATAGTGCGACAGCACAGCACAAAAGAAAACAAACAGAAGCAAAGACATGCACAAATATTGACGCATTTGGAGCACAGTGAGTTTCTTAACTGTATTTCATTGTGCATCAAGTAGGCGTATCTATAGTGTGTCATCTAAGGTAGGCTGATAAGGTGACTAAGAAAATGGGGGAGAAAGGGTTGAAGAAAAACAGCGTCAACAACATCAAGAGCAGCAACAGGAGAAAAATATTCTTCCTAAAGAAAGCTGTGAAGCATCCATGTTTCAGAAATTTGTATACACATACAAAGGGATAAAGGGTGAAAAATTGAAGTCTGTGATAAAAAAGAGAAGGGATTTACACGTGTGTTGAACAACCTTCAAGACTGCTGGTGGCTGTAGTGGAGGAGGAGGAGGAGGTAGACAATGATTCGAGTTCAAGTTCAAGTTTAAAGTGGAATAAAATAATAATTTATTTTGTAGAGAATTGTGTGTATGGTTTTATGATTGATGATTTAAGCAGATCACAGCAAGGGGCACAGGAATAATTCACCAGAATTTCATATTTTCATTTTGATTTTGACCTGAAATGAAAGAGAAGGGAAAGTAGTTATAACAGAAAAATTAATTACGATGTCTGTTGGTAGTTTTTCTTCTTCTTTTAGTCACGATGAACACGCCTGTTGGTTTCAAAATGTTTGGAAAATGTATATCATCAACTAATGTGGAATTAATAGGAGTATTCTTCAGTTTCAGTGCGTCGGTGGCATAGTGGTTAGGATGCTCGCCGGCCATGCACATGGTCCGGGGTTCGATCCCTGGCCGACGCACTCCTTTACCTCGCTAAGCCAGAAATAATGCTGGTGAAGAGGAAAGGTTCGGCATGAGGCTAGCAACCTCATCCTGCAAAATAAACACTGCTACAGAAACTTCAAGCCACTAGCTTGAAGCCCTATGTTCCACTGGGGAACGTGAAGGAGAAAAAAAATTCTTCAGTTTCTGTGATTAAGTCTTGCTATCTAAGCCTCGACACGTTGTTGCTTTTATTTGAAAATCACCAGATTGAGTGAAGAAATATACATTCCTTTTCAATTAAATTATTCCCTCATCATCGACTGCTTGGCTGACTGTCGGGCTGGCTCTACACTAATATATAGTCGTCTTTACATCAAAATCTCTTTATCGATCAAGTGGTTATTTTAGTTAATCAGTTTTAGGTATAGGCGGTGGGGAGTGGGTGAGTGAAATTAAGAGGTTAAAGGTCATCAAAACAAGATGTCTAAGTTTTAAAAGAAAAGTGAAAATAATTTACGGAATTCAAGATAACTTGATTCTTAGGCGTGAGCAACAAGTTATTACACAATCGAAAAATTTGTAAAATAGCGGTGATGACTAAGAAGAATAGGATGACTCAGTGGAATTGCGTAAAATACAAACAAACAAGTTAATAGAATCAGCTAGAATTATAAAAATTAACAAAGTCAAAAGATGAGATATTTACAATGGGAGGTAGAAAATCGCTTTTAAAAACCTAACACATATTATGTAGTTGGCCATAGCAAAGAAAGGGGCTGTACAAACTGTTTTTGAATACACACAGATTTGGCTTATTCACATGAATTCCGATTGCCTCTGCTGTATGTATGCAAACGTCGTACTTGTAGACCATGCTGCGAAAGGTGGGGTGATATACGATAAATAACTTTAGAAGCTCTGTTAGAGTCGAATGGTGTCCATTTTATCAAAGAGACGACCTAGTATTTTTACAATTCTAGCCAATTCTACGTAATTCTTCTGAGTCATCCTATTCTTATTAGTCATCATCGCTATTTTACAAATCTCTTGATTATGTAATAACTTGTTCCTAACCCCTATGAATTAACTTATCTTGAATTCCGAAAATAATAAAAAGTTTCATCCCTCCCTCTTTCAAAACGTAGATATTTTGTTATTAACAACTACTAGTTAGAAGACAAATAGTTTAGCTAAGAGTCTCTTTTCGGCGAATTCATTTTCATAGCTGTACAATTGCAAATATATATGGTTGTTTTGTATGTGTGTGTACATTAAATTTGTAAAACGAAAATACAATTAGTAAGTTCAGATGAATTGGATGTTGATATAAGAGCGTAGTAACAAAAGTGATGAGTTGTCACAAACGATCGTTAAAGAAGAGTTGCGTAATAACATGAATAGTTTAATGAAAGAGTTGTACTCAGGGTGTACATGGAAACAAAATATACGGAATTACACAAGGGTTTTGAGTAGAAAAATAAGCATACAAACAAAATTTAAGTCAAATCAAATAAACAAACAAAGAAAAGTTAAGTCAAATGAACACAGTTGTTACCATGGGAGTAGAAGTGGTTGAATAATTTTCTTTTGTATGCACAGTTCTGATTCCTCTAGCTTAGTGGCTAGGGCCTCTGCGATGCAAAGAAGACGGAATCGTACTGTCTTTGGAAGGTTGTTCTTCACTTTGTAGATTACTTTGAAGGGGGCGTTTGTTGAGATGGAATGACCAGTGTTGACGAGGTGTTCTATTATTGCACTCCTTATGCAGCCACGCTGGATAGTGTTCTTTGACCCTTTTTGACAGGATACGCGTTGAACGACCGATATACCTGGCTCCACAGCAACAGGTGAACTGATATATACACACAGAAGTGGTCAGGTGCTTATTTTTCTACTCAAAACCCTTATGTAATTCCGTATATTTTGTTTCCATGTACACCCTGAGTACAACTCTTTCATTAGACTATTCATGTTATTACGTAACTCTTCCTTAACAATCGTTTGTGACAACTCATCACTTTTGTTACTACTCTCTTATATCAACATCCAATTCATCTGAACTTACTAATTGTATTTTCGTTTGACAAATTTAGTGTACACACACATACAAAACAACCATATATATTTGCGATTGTACAGCTATGAAAATGAATTCGCCGAAAAAAGACTTGTCTTCTGTCTATTAATGTTCGGATGGGAATTTTTAATGAACTATTAGTTAATTGATGTTTTGATGACCTTTAACCTCTTAATTTCACCCATCCACTCCCCGCCGCCTATTCCTAAATCTGATTAACTGTAATAACCACTTGTGATTGGTAAAAAGATTTTAATGTAAAAACGACTATATATTAGTGTAGAGCCAGCCAGTCAGCCAGCTAGTTGATGATGAGGGAGTAATTGAATTGAAAATGAATACATATTTCTTCACTCAATCTGTTGTTACTCTTCTAAATGTGTAAATGGGAATTTTTGAATTCCATGTGATTCTTTGTCAAATGAATTTCGGGTCATCACAATTATTACGTCACAAGGCCTAAGCCTCACATCTCACTCCCACGGGCTTCTCTTCCATCGGATCCAAGTTGATCCATGAATACACGCAAGCTTTCGCTCCCTCTCCAAATCATCTCTTACATGTCATCCTTTAACATCCAACCCACAACTTTCCATCCACCTTCCACTCGATGGTCTGCCTAACAAGTGATGTCACTGGACAGTCTCCTCAGTGTATATCCAATCCACCTTGATTTGGCCGTTCATGTTTCTTGGATAATAGATTGTTCGCTTGTTGGTTGCATGTCATCGTTGCCTTTATCTGTAACCTCCCGACCGGCCATATTTATAAAACTACCGAAGGTGATAAGTAGTGATTGAAGAAAGCCTTCAACAACCTGTTGGAAATGTTTCTGGTGATGTGCGAGTCAATTTTCTGTTGAAGAACTCACTAGACTTGAATATAGTAATATGAATCTTAGGAACGACTGAGTGTCGTTGTAGATCTCCACTCTGATTTGAAAGTAATGAATGACTGTCTGTCTTGCTTTCTTGATCTAATCCTCACTAGTTCTGACACCCTCATGTGTGCTGCTCTCTGTATTTGAAACGATACTGCCTTCAGGTTTCTGTCGTTGATGGTAGTTGGTGTTTGTTGTTGTCGTTGTTTTCTGCTTTTTTCTTGGCCAGGTATCTTCATTATCTCTGTCTCCTCTATGTTTACCTGACAGCTTAGCTAATCATGAATCTGATTTTTTAAAATAAAAGTGGTGTCCGACGTCAAGCAATCCCTGATAACGATAAGATAACAGACACTTATTGTGTCTTCGTTTTGTCTACAGTGACGCTTAAAGTGGTGTTTATCTCATTTCAAAGTATCCAATAAACTTTAACTTTGATTCGACTCTTGATGGCATGTGTATAGGTATTGAAATTGACGCTCGATGAATTCTAGCAGTCAAGTTTTCAATCTGTTTACTAAACAAAGTGACTTACTATCTCTTACCACTTTAAATTGATGTAAGGAAACCCCTGAATTATCTAAAGGTAAGTAAGATTCTTGAAGATGAAGAATACGGAGCTGTGGCGTACGCTTATTATATGAGTATGACTCATGATACTACCTGTTTGCTCAGGCTGAAGTTGGTGGAGTGCTATTAGAATCTGGGATTCTTTGGCTAAACGGCGAAGTTAAACTTTAAGCACCAGTAAGTACCAATGGAGTGTGACCCCACCAGTGACCTTGAAACACTCAGTCAGCAAGTTCGTAAAACCTGGTAAATAATATTATAATCATGAATACATTATGCTTAATAAAGTGTAATGTTATTCATGGGTAAGGTTTGGGAAAGGTTAAAGACACGTTAGGGTTAGGTTAAACTATTGAGGGCGACATTAGAGTTGGTTCGAGTGAGATTAGGGTTAGTTTAAGGATATTTTCAGGTTAGAGTTAGAAGACGGAGATAATTACAAGTACTGAGAATGTGGTTGAATTACTCTGTTGATACTCCAATCCAAAACTGAGAGACACCTTTGTCACACATCAGAGAAAGGTATCCTGTGTAACAGCTACATGCCTTTTAATTCATTATTTTCATGAATACATGTAATTTATACGCAAAAATCGCCTTTATCATGTGGTTGGTGCGTTCAGCGTCATTTGTCCGTTGGTGTCCACTGGTGCTTAAAGTTTAACTTTGCCGGCTAAATGTCTAATGGTTAAGCCAACCAACCAAATCTTCAGATACGACTTGTTAGCGTTTGACAATAAGCAGAAAATACAGGTCCTTAGCTTCCTATCGATCACCCTTGACCATCTATCTAAAATTCATTTATATACAAAACAGTAGGCAGACATGTATTTAACCACTAACCAGGTAGGTAGGTAGCCTGATTGCAGACGTATACAGTGCACATTCAGATGCTGTTGAGCAGGATTTTATATATCTGCTTGAAAGGCTGTCACTGTCTTCTTTTATTTCACTCTTATTCAACTAGGAGTACAGGTTTCACAACTATTTCAACTTCATACTTTAAAAAAATTCAAATTCAAAATGTTTGATATCAGGGTACTCCTGAGAAGACTTTCACAGTTTTCGTCCAAAGATTTTAACATCAAAATTTGCTCTACAAAGAAGCTAGAAGAAGAATTTATTTTTCTCGAAAAGATGTTGAAAAGCAATGGTTACCCTCAAAGGTTCGTTAACAAGTACGGAAGACCTGAAGACTCAAATGTCAAACAAATCACAGTGATAAAAATTCTCAACTACGCTCAACTTGATTTTAAAGGTGAAAATATTACAGTAATTATCAACAGAAGATGAAGTACGTCACTAGACAGTGCCTTTTATGCAGCTTAGTTGGTACTGTCTATAGGACAACATGCCCCTTGTTTCAGTCAAAAGTTGACAGATACTCCTCTCTTGTTAACTTAAACTGTGTCTACAAATTTACACGTATATGCGGGAGCAGTTACATTAGAAGAACAGAAAGAAGAAGGAGATATCTTCAATTTTCTGAAAATGTATCGGAAAGCCTACGTCTCCAGCGGAATAAACGCTTACAATAGTGCCATTATCAGGTATTTCCTTGATACGGGTCATGAGATGGACACTGTGAAATCCCTTGAAATCATCAATAGACAGAAAAGCTCAGTTCTCCTCAAGTTTGCCAAAACAATCTCTATCAAACGCCTGAAATCCGATTTGAGTTGAACTCATTACATTGTCAACCAACTTATTAGTCACTCATCATCTCACGCATCTCTCATCCTCATTATGTAACTCCTTTACCATTGTATGCATGCATACATTCACTTAATTTAAACTTGAACTACCTGCGTAGAAACTATAGAAGCGTAATTTTCTGAGCACTGTTCACTTAGTCCACAACCTCCTGTCAACCGACATCAATTAATTTTTGAAAGTATGTTAAAAACTTTCTGTATATAAACTTAGTAATAATTTCTTTAGGCTGTAAGCAGGCAGCTGATCAGAATCCAACGAAATAAACAAAAGGATAGTGCCGACTTGTATTCTGCACAGACCATCACTGTTGTTCTTGCTTTATTCAAACAAATCAATCAATCAATAAATGGAATAATTCAGTTTCCACTTACTTTGATCGTAATAACCACGGTCAGGTATTATTGGCATGTGTGGATAGTAGTGTTCAGAATAAGCCAGTGACTGCTGAACCTGCTTCTGCTGTGGAGAGTTTGCATAACTGTCAGTATTTCTCTTCATAGTATTATTATTATTATACCCTACAATATCACTACTGTATCCAATGCTATTCAGCGTATTATGTTCAGTGTTATTTGATGCTGAGTAATAAGGATTTGTTGAATAAGTTGGCGAATTGAACTTCTGACCTACAGACTGTCGATGACCACCACCATTCATAGTACTACTATTATAGGTGTTATATGCTAAAGGAAATGAGAATGCTGGATTAGTGTGAAGGTGATTCAAAGTACCCGTCTGTTGATGTATACTGTAATTATTCTTGTTACTACTAATATTATTATTATTATTATTATGATCACTGTTCAGCGAAAAATGTGAGTATGTGCTCTGTCGATCGATATGTTTAACATTTCTCTCTGTATACTGGTCGACATTACTTGTATCCGGCCATTGTGAATTGAACTGATTGAATGTTTCAACGTGGGATGTATTCACCAGATTTGTTGTATTGACATCACCATCAAACTTTTGTTCACTTTCATTGCATGCGCTGAGTAAATGTGAAGGTTGATGGCTGATAATCGGTGACTTATCTGCTACTCCATCGTAGGCTAAAATAGGCAGCGTTTCATTATGCCTATGACCCCCATTCCTAAGTGTTATTGATGGTGGTGTTGTCACTGTTGTGCCTGGCATGATCACTGGATTGCCCACATTCTGATCGGACATGATTGTTTTAACTGATCGACACACTTTCTGTTTACGATGTGATCTAACCCAGAATACTATACCAAAGATTGTAATAATAAGAATGATAATAAATATAATCAATAAAATCAATATGAAACGATTATTGAGCCATATTTTTTGCAGCTTTGAATTCATAGGCACTGATCCGATTGCTGGATGAGTAGTGTCCAATGCCTCAATTGGATTCCATTTACTCAAACTAGGATTGAATGGATTGATTTTCACATAGAATTGTGTCTCTTTCGACAAGGTCGGTGTACCCATATCTCTGAGTAATATTCTGATTTGATAAACGCCTACAACAGGTTCATCAATGTGCTTAGGGTTTTTTGTTTGAATCTTGGCATGGCGGAGATTGAAATTTGGCGACCAATTTGTAAACAGTTCACCTGTTGTCTGATTCACATAGAAATACTGACTACCATTCGTAGATTTATCCAGATGGTAGGTGATAGTCCCATTCAAGCCTTGATCAGGATCATATCCTCGAATCTGTGTGACTAAAGTATGCAAAGGTGTATTAGTGTGAATCATTGGCTGCTCATGAGGCTGATGAGGATGAGACTGATGATATCCAAGCAGACTGTTATAAATAGGATATGTACACACCGGTGGATTATCGTTCTGATCCATCACGTGTATAGTGATTGTATGCGTTACACTATGCACTATTGGTTGACCTTCATCATAGCAGACAATTTCATAAAAGACACTGGCTGTTGTCTCTCGATCGAAAGGCATTCGACTAATCAACAGAGCTCTCATCTCACCATCACTGATCAATTCATTCGATGTTGACGCAGAATAATTAAACCGTGAATCTGGTATCAACTTAACATATTTCGTTATTTCTTTATTGCTAAGCTTATTCCCGTCAACATCACCATCATCATCAGCAGCATCAGGTGTTAGCATTAAGTGGATACGTGAATTTTTACCTTTATCTAAATCAATTATATGGATCGAATCAATAATAGTATTGATTTTTTGATTTTCTTCAACTTTTATCTCAGTGGAACTAATCAGCTTAGGCGGATTATCATTGATATCGATTAATTCGACAATTAACTGTGCAGTTGCTGTTAGACCTCCTTTATCCTTGGCTACAATTGGTAGGTGCAAAAATTCAGTCTGTTCACGATCTAATAGATTATTATGTAATACTTTAATGACTCCTGTAGATTGTTCAATGTGAAAGGGTTGTTTATCCTGGATTGTAGGCATTATAATATTCTTCTTAATATTCGAGGCATCTTTTAAACTGTGCGATTTTGTTGACACATCACCGAGTTGATAGATTAATTCACCGTATTCACCACTGTCTAGATCGTGAGCTTTCACCTCTGTGACTAACGAATTCTCAGGAAAGTGTTCAGGTATCTTTACATAATATTTTGTTTGTGTAAATATTGGCATATTATCATTCTGGTCAGATATTGCCACGGTTATACGAATCAAATGTGATTTCGGCGACTGTTCATGTTGTTGTGTTCGTGAGGGTTGCCGTCCAGTTGGCGGTGTTGTTCATTTCTGCCTTTGACCACATCAGCTGAATCTAGACATTCAATCAATAAGGCTGCTCGAGGCGTTTTTTCATAGTCGAATACACCTTTAGTGAAAACAAAGAACACCGTATCAGAAACTGGATGCAATCTGAGGAAATCTTGACCAGCTACAAGCTCTTCGTCAGCAAGATGATCAGCCTCCAGGGGAACTGGTTTACAAATCACCTAAAATTGGAATTCAGAAAAGAGATAACATAATTCAATATGAATTGTGATCAAGATTTGATTGAATAGTTGTAAAACAATTGATCACCGGATGAGAAGTAGACATTTGCAAAAATTATATTTGTAAAATCTCAGAGAAGTTGAAATGAATAATGCTAACGTTTCCTGCATTCGGTAAACTTGTGCGAACTTCTTCAGGGAAATTAATCGAAATTACCGTAAGAGAGGTTTATATGTATAAAATAAAGGACATCCCTTGTTTTTAGAACCTTTGTCCAGTCATATGAGTCATGGGACAGGCATCGAAATATATCAAACAAAATTGCATGAACTGTGATCAGAATTTGACCTGAGACTTACAAATATTAGTCTACTTTTTCTTAAACACTGTTAACTGTGTGTACTTTTGTATGGGATTTCTAGTGATTTTATTCCACTAAAGTTCATTATATATTATTATTATTGTTTCCTAGAGGAACACAGGGATTCAGCCACGTGTCTCCATTGCGTTCAGTTCTCTGTCAACGTTTTCACCTGGCTCCATGTCTGCCCACGTGCTTTCATCTCCTCTTCACATGACCTCCTCCATTTCACCTTCGCACTGACAACTAACTCGCCGCTTCACATTTAGGAGGTTCCACGCGAGCAATGGCCTGACGTGTGATGTCACTTGATGGTTTGTTTTTCACAGTATGGCCAATCCACCTACATTTTCAGTTAGTTCCTGCTGGATTGGTTCGCTCATTGCCAGAGATCCCTGTTGCTGATCTGTTCTGGCCGCTATCTGATCTTGAACGGAGCATTGAGCGAAGACAGCTGTTGATGAAGGTGTGTAGTTTGTTCGAAGTTCCCTTCATGACGCGACGCGGAGCCAAGTCTCTGATCCGTATAGTAGCACTGACTTCACATTGAAGTTGAAAATCCGGATCTTATGTTTCATTCTCAGTATTTCTGTTGATCTCCACAGAGGCTTGGGAGAAATGAAAGATTGCCTTGCTTTCCCGATCCTCGTTTTCTCATCATCATCATTTCTGCCCGCCTGTAGTTGAAACGATGCTTCCCGGGTAGGTAGGTAGGTGTGAAGGAGACTGCTTCTTTCAGATTTCTTCCATTTATGACGATTGTTGTCTGTTGTTACTGCTGTTGCTGATGGCCAGGAATCTTCATCAACTCTGTTTTCTCTACGTTCATCTGAAGTTCTATCTTTGATTCTTTTTCTATAGCCAACTTGTTGCTTTTCACTTGTATATCCTCCAGTTTGTGGGAAATCAAACATATATCACATCGGTGAAATCCAGATAATGCAAGTTTTTTGTGTAGGTTTCTATGCCTGTCTCCTCATCGCCCTGCCCGCTGTCTGACGCATCATCCAGGCTACCGCAGTGAGGAAATCAATCATTGCAGATAGAAGGCAACCAGCCTTCCTTTTCTTACTCCCGTCTTCACTTAGAAGGATTCCGTGAGTTTCCTGTTGTTTACGGTCTTAGATAACTGAATATGAACTTTGTAGATTATGAAAAGAAGGCTGTTGATCACCTTAATGTCTGATCCTATGAAAATGTCAACATGACAAAGTCAAGGGCGACATTGAATAAATTGAAGGCTGACACAAGCAAAATGTTACAGTCAATAAAATCGGAGCTCGGTGTATCACTTTGACGCACTCTCGCAACAAAAAGTTGCAGTCCCGATAGATTTTATGGATTATCAAAACTACACAAACCAGAAGTTCCATCACGTTCAGTTTTGGATTTCACTAATTTCCCAGCCTACAAACTCTCTACATACATTTATCGGATACTTAGTCCATATGAAATGAAAGTGGAATTAGCAGTGACGAATTCGCATGGATTTAAGAGAAAACTCATCGTGACTCATATTGAAAAAGATGAAGTAATGGCAAGTTTCGATGTTTATTCATTATTCACGAATGTTCCCGTTAATGATTCTTTAAGTATTATCTATAATTTACTTTGTTCTGACGACGAACTCAGTGGTCGTTTTCCTTTAAATCCAGATGAAATTATTAGGGCATTGAAACTGTTTCTAGGCTCCATGTTATTTACATTTAGAGGGGTTCTTTACCGTCAAGCAGAAGGCATTGCTATGGGATTACCAGTATCTTCTTTTTTTTTTCCTTCACGTTCCCAGTGGAACATAGGGCTTCAAGCTAGTGGCTTGAAGTTTCTGTAGCAGTGTTTATTTTACAGGATGGGGTTGCTAGCCTCATGCCCAACCTTTCCTCTTCACCAGAATTATTTCCGGCTTAGCGAGGTAAAGGAGTGCGTCGGCCGGGAATCGAACCCCGGACCATGTGCATGGTCGGCGAGCATCCTAACCGCTATGCTACCGACGCACACCAGTATCTTCGCTAGTCGCCAATCTGTTTATGCACTCATTAGGAACAAATGCAATTATGAGATGCTGTTGTCCTCTAAGAATGTGGTTAAGATACATGGAGGATACCTTCGTCACAATGAGACACAATTTGTTGAATGAACTTTTTCATTGAATGAACAGTTTGACAGAAACCATTAAGTTCTACAAAGCGGTTGAATCCGACGAGAAGGATTTGGTGTTACTGGGCTGTTTAGTAAAAAGACAACCAGATGGTAAACTTAGGATAAACATTTTCAGAAAGCCGACACATTCGGACAGATACCTAAACTACTATTCAGCACATCCCTTTATTATTAAGTTTATGTACAGAAACAATTCTGACATACTTGGAAATTTTACATGATGTCAGTTGACAAGAGGTTCTGAATTTAGTGAACAGTGCTCAGGAAGTTGCACTTATATACTTTTACACAGACAGTTCAAGTTTAAAGGAAGTAAATGTATGTATACAAGTGTAAGGGAGTTACGTAATAAGGACGAGAGATTCATAAGATGATGAGTGACTAATAAATTAGGTAACAATGTACTGAGTTCAACTCAAATCACAGAAACAAGAGACAAACAAAATTGCACTATATTAAATTGTGTGTCGGTGTGTGAGGTTAGATCCAAAGGTTACGTAATCAAAAGAGAAAGACAGACAGTGAAGACATGCAGTTACAGGCAGGGCAAGCAGAGACTGATGACCGCTTCTTTCTCAGCACATAAGTTGGGTTTCAGGTGTTCGATAGAGATTGCTTTGGCAAACTTGAGGTGAATTGAGCTTTTTTCGCTATTGCTGATTTTAAAGGATTTTACGATTTCCGTCTGATGACTTGTATCAAAAAGATGCCTGGTAATGGCACTATTTTAGGCACTTGTTCCCTTGAGGCGTAGGCTTTTCGGTACCTGTTGAGAAAATCCCAGGTGTCCCGTTCTTTCTATCCCTCCAATATAACTGCTTCCTCACATACATGTAAATTTTTATACACAGTTGAAGTTAACATAAGAGGGTTATCTGTCAGCTTTTGCCTGCACCAAGGAGCATGTTATTTGGTGGACGGGAACCAACTCAGCCAGCTGCAGGAAAGACTACAAATGTATCATCGACATTTCGACAATAAGTTGTCTCGTGTACTTCCCATAGCTACACCATCTATTTGGCGGTAAAGAGTGTTGTCCAACTGGAATTGTACATCCATGGTACACATTAGCAGAAGACGTTTGAATTCCAGCACTGGGAGTGGGAGAAGATCAGAATTCTGAGAGATGATCTCTATAGTTTCACTGATTCGGATCCTTTTGAACAAGGTGATCGCATCACACAGCGCTATAGACTTATTTGAAACGTTCATATGGTTCACATATTAGGCGACATGAAATGAGTCTTTCATGGTGTACAAAGCAAGCTGTTGACGAATCGATTCCAAATTCTATGCAAGTCAACGAGCAACTTTGTGCTAAGGCGACTTAATCGTCGAAAGTATACGCCCTAGGTAGACTTGCTTTCGTGTGTGTCTTTGGAAGGCCAGATATGTGTGGCAAACAAGACCCTCGGGGTTTTAAATCACTTTAAACATCGTTGTTAATCAATTTCTTCTTTAGAAGATGTTTCAGTACGTTTGTGATGCGTTAATCAGCTGCATCTGTCTTATCCTCCTAGCAATCGTCAACTTTAAACTTCGACGAGCTCATTTAACACAGTTTTCATCTTTGCGACATAGTCACCTTCGTCCATCAGCACCACCCTTTGAGCCTTCGTCAGCTCACAATATGACAACTGCGTCATTACTTTTGAGAACTTCCAATGCTTTTTGATGCTCCTGTAAAAACTGTTGTTCTTGCTTTATTTTCACTTGACGACGGACACACTAGGCAAATGTTACTAAGAAAAGAAGGCGTACTTCCAAAGAGAGCAGACTGTTTCGTGAATGTTTCAGTGACAGAATAACCAAGTGAGTACAGTTCGAACGCCTACAGATAATCTACGCTTCATGAGAATCCCTCAAATCAGCTTGGCATATCAGTTGTTCATGTAGTAGAGGATAACTTTCTTCTCGAATTAAACGCCTTCTAAGCACCAACCCCCACCCCCGTTCTTTAAAAGTGTTAGTCTGCTTTTCACTCATTGAATGCTCGCCTGCTGACTACAGACGCACAGACGCACAAAATATCTGTCATCTCATCTGTCACTGTTCCCTTCTGTGTTCAGGAGTTCACTTCACTCCGTCCAGTTTAGCAAGTCAATTTCGGTCATTTATGGGTGTGTAGATGTGTGTGTGTGTCTTGTTTTTCACCCTTCTAAAAATAAACTTTAATTGATTAATTAGTGAAGGACAAGTGACTTTAATCCTTCTATATTTCTCTCTCACACACACGCACACACACATACACTCACTCACTGACACACACACGCACAGACTGTATTTCATGAGCCAACTCATTCAATCCTTACACAACATAAATTATGAGTGATTAACTTATTGCGTGATACTGAAATTTCAGGTAACTTTCAGTAAATATTATCCCTAAACAATGAGATATTCACACTAAGTGTGTGTGTGTGAGTGCATGTGGTGTTTATAGATGTTTATCGACTGATTTATCGATCTGCTCAATCA